TCCTCTTGTCCCCTGCACAGTTGTGACAACCAAAAACATCTCCGGGCATGGCCATATGTCCCCTGGGGGTGCAGAATACCCCCCCCCCGTTAAAAGCTGTGAATGAAAAGGGGGCTACTTGGCAAGTCTGACAAGCTCAGTAACTGAAAGTAACCACATGGGATGTTCTGATCATAAGAATTTTTCCTAATTGAGTGGGTCATTGCAGGAAGTCATATCCTATGTGACAGGCTAACCGTTGCCTTGACTGAGCCCTGGCCCTTGTTTTTGTGCTTGTGGAGTAATAACATACTTTAAATGTCAGAATGATCTCCTCTCCAGACCCGCAGAGATAAATGCCCTGATACTGGGAGGAGAGGACCCCAGCACCCCTCACTGTTAGCTTTTCCCCGCCCAGCTCAGTAACTGTGTATAAGAGATGGTAAGCATCCTGCACCCGCCACGTAAAAGAAACATGTACCTCCCCATGTTACTCTGTATCCAACCCTAGAGATCCCCCTCCTTAATCTACCACCAATGGCTACCTTGTAACCTTTCCTACATCTTCTCCATTGATTCCAATAGTAAAATAAACTACCAGCCTGCCCTTCCCTGGAGCATGTTCTCAATCTTTTGAGATTTTCCTTCTGGGTCTGGCTCAAATAAACTCTTCAAACCTTTTTTGAGGTCTGGGCCTCTTTTCGTGGACAGAGCTGCCCCCTTGGACTGATTGGGTTGCTGATCCTTGATTCTCCGTTGCTCCCCGTAATTACCCTCCCGTAACAACACGAGGCGCTCTTTACTGCCTTTCTTACTCATGGTCATACAAAATCGGAATGGCTATCCAGGCCTGGTGGCAATTATAAGAAAACCCAAGGCCTTGCTTCTTTCTCCATTAGCAGACGCTATGTCAAAGAAAAAGGGCTTTGTTCCACGAAACTCTAAATTTCAACTCTCTCGTGGCTTAATTTTCTCAGGATTTTTGGTTTAATATCCCCGCAGATTTTCTTTGGAGAGGCAGTTAGTGAAGTGCGCTGAGCCTTGGCTCCTGGTCTGTAAAGTAGAGCTAATAATTACAGCACTTAAGTGAGCTAATCAGCTGCTGTATGTGAACTACTTAAAACAGAGCTCGGCAATTAGCCACTATCATTATTATAATATTCATTTGACTATTGTTGTTGTTCTTTCTTGCTTTTAGTGACCAAGCCCACACCTGGTGTGAAAGAGCAACTTGTAGCCCAGCCGGGCGTGGCTCAGCGGCTCAGCATCAGCCTGGGGTCCTGTCTCTCTAAAAATCAATAAAAACATATCCTGGAGTGAGGGTTAAAAAAAATTACACACTGGCTTTCAAACACTTACTACTGAAAAAAAAAAGTGCATAATATCTCATTCATAATTGTTTTATATTAATTACATTTTGAAATGATGGTGCTGAGATCCATTGGGTTAAATATAATATATTACTAAGATAGTTAATTTTGCCCTAACCAGTTTCGCTCAGTGGTTAGAGCCTTGGCCCCTGGACTGAAGGGTCCCGGGTTCAATTCTGGCCAAGGGCATGTACCTCTGTTACAGGCTCCATCCCCGGCCTTGGTTGGGGCTCCTGCGGGAGGCAACCAATTGGTGTGTCTCCCTCACATCGATGTTTCTCTCTCTCTCTCTCTCTCTCTCTCTCTCTCTCTCTCTCTCTC